AAAAAAACCCTCACCTTTATGATAGGAATTTACATTAAGAAAAGTTGTAGTCCTCTCCTTTATTATTTGCAGAATAGGTCTTTATTGTGCACAAGTATTTTACTCAGCAGTACTTGAATGAACAATGTAACCATTTATGGTAAACAGACTCAGAATTTCTTTGCCAATAAGCTTGATTTTGCACCATTAACAACAGGCACGGTCTTGGACTAAACCACTCCGTAATAGTAGAATTGTCCCTGCTTTTAAAGATGGCATTAAGAAAAAGTAATGGAAAAGTTTTCTGAATCTGCTACACTTTCGACAGTCTCTTTAATCCAGGGGATGTAGTTGGATACCCTGGTGTAGACACCGTATTTCCCTCTTTCAGCACAGCCCTCGCCCCAGCTTACGATCCCCAGGAGAAACCAAGTGTTGTGGTAGGACACCACGAAGGGGCCGCCGCTGTCCCCCTTGCAGGCATCTGTGGCCTGAGCGTGGTGACCGGCGCAGAACATGTTGTCGGTGATGAGTCTGTCCATGGAGCGCTGACACGTCTGCAGGTTCACAATGGGCAGCCGGACCTTCATGAGGAAGCGCAGAGTCGGGCCGCGGGCGTGAGTGGCCCCCCAGCCGCTGACCATCCCTATTCTTCCTTCCTCCAACAGCAGGGTGGCGAGGTTAGGGCTTGGGAGGCAGATGGGAACGGCGTACTCGTTAAAAACGACATCGCTGCTCAGGTACAGCAAGGCGATGTCACCGTTGTAGTCATTGGAGTCGTAGTGGGGGTGCGTCCAGCTCCGTTCCACAGCAATCTTCTGTTCTTTGAATTCTCTTTGGTACTTGTCGAAGTCTCCTGGAGTCGGGACAAATTAAAGTGTTAAGCGAACTGTGCCCAGCCTGCACGGTGCCGTCACGGGGCGACGGGAAGGGGCGCGAAGGCGCGCTCTGCCCCTGTGTCCCCAGGCGGGACAGCCCGTCCTCGGCAGGGTCACTTCTCGGGCTCCAGCTGTGGTCCTGCAAGTCAGGCTTAGCCCTCCAAGGGCAAACACAGCTGCTGACTGGAGGCATGCAGAGATTGTGGTTTCTGGGGTGGGGATTTGCACTGAATTTTGAATATTTTGTTTAGGCTTCCATGGGCCTTTGTGTTTTTCCCCTGGGGAGTGTGACGTAAGCATTAAGCTCCAGCCATGCATAAGGCTGAAAAATTGGTTCCTGTCAGTTACCCAGCGCTGTACTGTTCGCTCCTCGCGCCTGCCTCGCTTCTGGAGGTTTCAAGCACAAGACTGTGGTTATGGCAGCGTTTGTGCTGCAAGGGGTTCCAATTCCGGCTGCTGTAACCGGTGCTGTAGCGGAGCCTTCTGCTCTGAGGCAGCAGCAGGCACCACAGTGGGAAACTAACCTTAAGGCTGATTAATAAATAAAACCAACTTGAGAGCAGACTCTCCCCTCCAGGACTCCCCCTTCCTCCTGAGGCGTGCCCTGAGCTGGGCACAGTCTCCATGCGCAATCACTTTGCCAAAATGGTGACAGAAGCAGCTGAATCTGTGCCTTATGCTCCCACGTTCTCCATATATAAAAGGGACCAGTGGGGCCCCCC